AATATTTCAACATCTGCCCATGAAGCTTCTAGAAGAGGATGTATGATGTTTTGGACTTAGGAATTCATCAAGATACACAGGAAGTATACTCCTCTTTTCCTTTGACACTTTCTGTAGCAGAGGTGTCCCTGAGCAGGTGATGTTAAGGTGTTGTGGAAGTTAAGGTGATGTGGAAAACAGAGCAGGACTTCTCTTACATGTGCATGAACATAAGACACTGGTATGTCTCTCTCTCTTTCCTAAGGATGAGATCATAAGGGAGCCAGAGTATCAGGAAGAATTTCAATGGGTTCACGCCTGTAATGAACAGAAAATGTGAACTTGGTTGCATTACTTCTAGTGGGACATTAGAAGGAGGACATTATTCAAAGCTGGAGAAGCCTGAATTAAGAGAGCCAGTGTGGTGTAGTGGTTAAGAGCGTGGGACTGGGACTCAGATGATCTGGGTTCGAGTCCCCGCTCCGCCATGGAGCCAACTGGGTGACTTTGGGCCAGTCACAGACTCTCAGCCCAACCTACCTCACAGGGTTGTTGTTGTGGGGATAAGATGGAAGAGGAGAATGATGTAAGCTGCCTTGAGCCCTTTGTAGGAAAAAGGCAGGATATAAATTGGAAAATAAATAAATAAACAAATTTGGAGAGCAGTGTCCTTTAATCAAAGGTCAACTTAATGCATTTCTCCTGATCTCATGAACTGACCTCTTTCTCTTGTTCTAAGATGAACATGCCTCAGTTAGTAAAGTCTGTTGTAATATATCATGCAGGTTGCAAATAGTTCCTGCTTGGTCTCTGACAATAAGCTTCTGTTCTTCTGACATATATTGATTATCATGTATATTTGTTGGGATTGTTCACAGATCTATTCTTGGGAAAGTTTAGAAAAGTAAAGGTATTTTTATTGTGTTTTAGTTATCATTGTATATTACCCAGAGAGCTTCAGAAAGCTGCCCAGAGGTGGTATAGAAATGAAGTGAAATAAAATAAAATGCTCTTTTATTTTAGATTGCATTCAGTGAAAGAAAAATGAAAGAAAAGTATTTTTTCTGTCTCACGACAATAATAGTTTCATATTTTTCATGATTTTCTGTTATTACACCAAGATATTTAAATCCATTTACTGTTGCCAAGGAAAATCCATTTACTGTTGCCAATTTACTGTTTCTAATATTTTCACATTTTTCACTGTTTCATTATTATACCAGATATCTAAATCAGGTTACTGTTGCCTGTTGCTGTTTTTCAGTTTCATGCTTTTGTGTAATTTAATTCTCAACCACAATTTATCATTGTACTGAATCATCCTTATGATGATTCAAATGAGAATGATTCCCAAAATGAGAGCTTACATTTTAATGAGACACAGAATCATTTTTTCTTGAAACATTTTTAGTTTGGATTTATTAACAGTACAATCCTATAGATGTCTGCTCAAAATTTAAATCCCACTGAATTCAACAAGACTTGTTCCCAGGTCATTGAATATAGGATTGCAATCTATGGATACAATCCAGTGTATATTTAGATAGGAAAAAATAGTGCTGCAATTCTTTGCATTTTCTACCCAGCATGGGTGGGAATTGCAATTAAACTTCATGTTTTATACTATACTGTTCTGTGGATATTCTCCCCCAGAACTGCTTCTGCCAGTTTTATTTGCTATATGGAAGAAAAACCAGTACCTACAGTTGGCAGACCTAGATAACTACATTTTAAATCATTATTTATTCTTTTTTGGTTATTTTAAAATAATGATAATGTTTCAAAGCATTGTTATGTTGAATGTGACAGTTCCATGTTTAATTGCAGCCCTTTCTATTTCTTTTTGTACCCTCCCCATCATGTTGGACAGCAAAGGGTAGGTGTTTAGTTCTGTGAACTAAATTTGACATTTAGGAAGCATTGTGTAATCATATGTTCATCCTATCTGAAATGATGTGAGAGGTGGAGGCTGTATCACAGTCCTGTGCATGTATCTTCAGAAACAAGCCCAGTTCATACAGTGCATCCTACTTCCTCAAGAAGTCTACATCAGATTGCAGAATAAGGCCGATTTTCTGCTGCTGCTGCAAGATCGTTTCAAGAGCTGATTTAATTCACTGTTTCCACCCAAGGAGTATTGACTCAAATGCGACTGCCTGCTGATTTGTTCACTGCCATTACATGGAAGCCACAATGGGATTTAAACCAGCACTTATAGCCTCCAGAAGTGTAGAAGTGGCATCCAGTCGGTGGATGCAGAGTCCATTTGTGTCACGTGGGTTGGCAGCCTATTGTTCACGGATACTAGTAGGTTCTCAGGCATCTTTCTTGGAACCTGCTTGGGTGCCCTACCTTTCCTGCTTTTTATTTCTTTTTTTAAATAATATTTTGTCTTATAACAAAGCGAAGTTAGAGCCTCCAGCCAATTCTATCCTAATTTCCCCTGAATGTCCCTGGGCCACACACGGAGCCCAAAGTTACTTGCAGGCAAAAAGATGGTGAAAAGCTGCAGGTCAGAACTTGCCTCTGCAACAGGCACAGCTACCAAAAAAAGGGCAAGAAAAATGGACTCTTGTTGCTTGTGTCTGGCAAGCTGGGTGGTTGTAAAGAAAGGAAGTGGGGGCTACTTCAGTAAGTCAGCTGGGGAATTAGGGAAGCCAGGGGAAAGGGAGAACCCTTGAATGGAGCCCACTGAGAGCAGCCTCTGTGGTAGGCAAGAGAGAGAGAGAGAGAGAGAGAGAGAGAGAAAGGCCGTAGGGAGTATTTCATAGGAATCCTGGAAAACAGTGAGTGGCATTTTGTGTGCTTCCACTACGGAGAAGGAGGAGGGGCATGCATATATACATGCCTATATGCACTCATGTGTGATGCATACATGGAGTGCTTGTGTGCATGTGTGGAAAGATGATCACTGGCTAACACATGTATTTTGAGTGTGTGTGTGTGAGAAGTTGCACCCCAATTCTGGTGAATTGGGGTGTGAGATGGTGTGAATAGGTGATGAATCGGAATGATGGAGAAAAAGCTATCAGGGTGGGGGGAATACATTGTCTGTTGGTCATCACTACCAGGTTCAAAGGGGAGGAAACAATCTTCCCACTGGGAATTTCTACATACCTGTGTGGCACTGAGGCAGTAGCATAGGAATTTCTATTTCTATGTAGAAATATAGAAAACATATTTATTTTTAAAAATGACTCTCTCTGCTCTGAAGGAGCTGCTTTAAACTTATAGCAGATTTCATAGAAAACAGATATATGGTGTTAATATTGGCACACCTGTTCCCATTTCTTCAAAAGGCAAATGCTTGCACTCTGTTTTGGAAGTTACAGAGAAGAGTAGGGAACCCAAGGTAAAAGGTACTTTCAGTTTCTTTTTCCTGGACTTCTGAAGACATCCAACACAAGGAGGTCCTTCTTAACGCCCTTTCACACATTACACATCGGGTCATACCAGGTGCCATCCCATACCAACCATCCTTGACGAGAAGCCACCGTTTTACCTGGTAGAGTGGGCTTTGTCTGGCAGGGCCTGTCCGGCTCTGGTTCATTCATTTCTGGGGAAAGTACTGCTATGTTTGTGTTAGATCTGAACACTATTGGTGAAGTCAGAAATAGAGCCACAAGTGTTTGAATCTATGGGATCAAGCGAATGCCTTTACTAATAGTACCCTGTGATTAAGTAAAGTGGTTTATGGCTTTGGGACCAAATTATATTTTGGGACTGTAATCTGATTTCATTCTCATAATGAGGTAAGTTGTGGTTTTTAAATTAAAGTTTGGAAGCATGACACCCCTAATTAAATCATATTCTGAGATGGATTGTCTTTCAAAATGTTGGGGGCGGGTGTTGTTTTTAGCATGGTCCTTGTGTTCTTTGTGTGACACATGCATGATAAGATGGGTCACAGTGGGAAGAAATGATGGGATCAAGTCTAAAATTTATTTCAATGAGGTATGATTGCTTTCTAAATTATTTTACTCCAGTAAAGCCTTGATTTGAAAAGTAGATGTGCATTTGTTCCTTACTTTCTTATAAACTGGTTATGCTTTCTGAAGAGTTATGTTTGGTCTGGCATGTTTTAATACATTGTATGCAAAATGATACTAATTGAAAGGGTTTGACATACCTGCTCTTAGAGAGGGTCCAGCATATTTTAATGCTGATGGCATGGTTTTAAGCCATGCTGTACCTGAGATTCACCGAGTTTCGCAAATCAGTTCTGGCAGGATAACAAAGGCTGCAGAGCAGCAACCAGTTTCATCACTGCATTTGGCCTAACCCCCTATTGTCCACGCCCTGTGTGCAAGTGGCCGAGCTGCTTGGAATACAAGAGATTAATTCCTTATGAGGCTACCTTTACAGGCCTCCGCTCCATAGGATACCCTTTCCTGTAATATTGGAGTGGCTCCTGTTGTTTGCAATGGAACAGATGGATGCTGTGTTGAACCCTTCCTGCACATTCATTACTGAAACCTGGCCATTTAGAAGCATATAGAATTTTTCTTTTAATTTCTAGCACCAACTTAGGACAAGTTTTTTGCCCAGTAATATTTTTACATGTTGCCTACATATAACAACAAAACCGTTCATGGCATATCAATAGTCAGAAAGGAGAACACAGTAATCAGCTATTTGTTTTTAAACGAACTAATGGCTAGTTACAATCCCAAATAGTATGAATTGATGTTGAAATAGAGAAATACATTATTATTATGTAATACCTAACTCAAATTATTATGTAAAAACCTCAAACTCTCTCAAAGATTATCCAGTCTCAGTAATGAAATTTAATTTCTACATGCCCTGTTCCATATTTGGGTTCTTCCATAGCTGGCCACTACTAAACCATTCCCAGTAAGTCTTTCTTACGCCACCTGACTTTTAGCATTGATCTAGAAAACAGCTTGGACATGATTATTGCAATTTGAAATAATGATAGCAGTGCATGTCAAGCCCTTACTTTTTCAACCTTCTAATTTTGCATATATAACTCTTTATGATTTTGTTGCATTCACTAGGTTTGCTGGTATGGGTAATCTTCTTAAGGTCCTTACCAGGGAAATTGAAAACTACCCACATTTTTTCCTGGATTTTGAAAGTAAGTTCAAAGATTGGAACGTCATTTTCCCTGACTTAGGAGCTGGTTGAGAAGGAATGTTTAAGCCTGATTTGCTTTGACAGATAAATGTTCAAGCAGTACAAATGATCTGACACAATGCTTTCAAGATTTGTTCTGAGCACCTTTCCTGTTCCTTTTCTATTTTTCAGGAACCAAATGGGGAACCTTTTAAAAGTTCTCACTTGCACAGAGTTTGATCAAGGGCCAAATTTTTTCCTTGACTTTGAAAGTGAGCAAAGCTTCTTGCCTGGCTTGCATTCTTTTATCATCATCATCCTTATTTTTCCTAATAAATTGCATGTATTAATCTGCTATAGAAGCAGTACAGTGCACACCACTTATACTTTTCCTGCTTTGTTTTGGAAGCTAGATGTGCGCAGTTTGTCCAAAATCATAAATGTTTTTTAAATGTTAGCATAATTAAAAGGATGGGCTAACATTGCCAGGATGCTTGGCAGAAGACTGCTCTGCCCAGCAGCTTATACTTTAGAATGTGTTTGTTTGTTATTGCCTGTAAAAAGAAGTTTTAATGAATGTTAGCAAGTGCTCTTTTGAGACCTTAATTTCCTTCCTGGGTTGTACCAGTGGGGAGAGCCAGAGAGTGTCCAGATTGTACATTCACTTTCTGTGTTCCCCTCACCATGGTCTGTACAAATTGGTCATTATCAGTGGTTTGTGCTGTATCCTAAAGGGACTTGTAGGCTATTTTTTTGCCCTTTAGATTTTACTGACACATGCAAAGGCACACTACTGGGAACCTGCTAAAATTCTGTTAGGCAGAAAAGTGTCACTGTTATATCTATGGGAATAGATATCCCTCCTCATCATTTAAAAGCATAAATATCATAACAAAAGACACTGAAAAATTCCAAGTTATAAGTTGAATGTTGATATGTCTGTATCCAAAAGACTAAAATGAGTAGATGGGATAGACCTGTCATATAAAGGATGATGCTAAACCATGGTTTGTATGACACTTTTCTTGCCTTTACTTAATTTTGAATTAATGCAGGGGACGGGCAATCTTTCACCTTCAAAAGCCATGTACCATGGCAAATGGTGCGTTGAGCCACGTTATTAGTGCTCAGAAACAGCATCAAGCAGAGCCTTCTCCCTTGCACACGTGCACATGTACTCATCTCCCTTTGCCCACACACATGCACACACTTCTGTGTTCACTTGTGCATACTTCCATGCTTAACTGGAGTGAAGCAAATACACTTAGCGTTCCCCACCGCCTCCAGTCAAAGTCCCCAGGAACAGGGAGAGTGAGCCCACCTCTCCAGCATGATCCTAGCATCTCATCTGATGCCTCCCTGTGCTGCCCTGCTGATTCATGCAGGAAACCAATGAAGACCAGTGTGCCGATGGATGTACTGCTCAGTGACTCCCAGTGTAAAGAAGCAGGACAGCGAGGAGAGGAGGAGGCAAATAATTGTACACCACCCAGAGAGGTTTGGCTCTTGGGCAGCACAGAAATTAAAGAAATCAATGAGGAGTGCAAAAGGGATCTGTAGGCTGTGGATTGCCCTTGTAGGAATCAGTGGGATTAGCTCCATTCATTTTAAAAAATAAAAAGAAGAATTGAAGTGAAGTGAACCCTTGATTGCCATTCCCTTGTCTTTCTTTCAGTCTTGTGGTGAAATGCAATAGACGTCTAACATTAATTTTCTAACCGCTGATTTCATTGGAATACTGCTAATACAGTCCTTCTGCATACCAACTGAATGCATGTAGTTTTAGCATTCCATGGAAAACTGTTTAGCAAATGCTTTAAATTCCTTTCATCCACTAAAGATATACTACACTTCTGCTCTGCTTCCTACATTAAACCATTTTAAACACCAACAAAAAAGTTGTTTTTAAACATAAGTTGCTGTATTTCATAGCTAGAATTTTAGGAAAAGAACATTTTAAGGGTCATTGTATCATATCATTGCCTACTTTTTAAAATATTGAAAGAATTTCTTCAAACCTGTATTTTCTCAAACAACCCTGATAGTTAAACATCAAAGTAGCATAATTAGGTTCCAGACCTTTAGATAAATATTCAGGGACATTAACTCATTAGTCAGGTTTGCTACTGCATGTATTCATTTCAAGTGCAAGGAACCATTTCTGGCATGAAATTAAACAGACTGTACCAAAGCATAGACTTCTGGTGAGCATGACCAATGGTAAGGGATATGGGAGGTATAGGTCCAAGAGCATCTGGAGTGCCACACATTCCCCACCCCTTGCTTTGAAATGGAGATATCAGGTGTTATTTTAGTGACGCGGCTGTGACAGTTACATTTTAATGTTTTCTTATTACTGAGGGTGATGTTCAAGATGATGAGTTTGATAAATTCTGTGAATGCTCAGGGGGATGAGGAAGAAATAACTCTTTGGAAAAGTTTAACATCAGAATAGGTGATGAATACTCATGGTTGAATGGGCTTATAAAGAAACCTTCCTCTGGAAGTCAGCAGGGCCTGCAGTGAGCCTGCACTAAGTAGACTTAGCATATCCAAAGAGTCATACTATGGAATGATTTCCAAACATGCAAGACCTCAGCGGGCACAGTCCGCTCATAGGAATATACCATTACAGATTTGATGTGATGTGTATGAATGCCCCCTTTCCATATCAACATATTCTTCTTGGAAAAATCAAATGTGTGTGTGTGACACATTTGAGATTTGAACCTAAACTCTGCATCAGCATCTGTTTAGTGAGTAGTAAAGGCCTATCCTGACCCCAAGGAGGAAGAGGGATTCTGAGTGCCTCAAAGTTTTGGAATTGCAGTCAAAAGGAGGAAAAGGGACACAGTTTCTCTTCCAAGGTGTCCCTTTCAGCGACGCCAGGCCACCTTATTGGCAGGATTGCTCCCACTGTAGCAACGTGACACAGTGCCACACTCGACATTTCCTCCTGGAATGAGTGGCAATTAATCCTTTCTATGTACAGGAGGAAATAAAGGGCTGTGCTTTGTCCCAGTTCTCCCAACCACTGAAGCTTGTCCCATCTGCATTCTGAATTATGTTTCCTAGCTACAGTCTCAGCCTATGCAGATAGGTAACTACCCTGGTGTGGACTGATTCCCCCGGAATAATGTCACCATCTGCATCATCTTGCCAAATGTTAAGTTTCATATGCGATTTCATATGTTTGTTTCATATGCGAAGGCAGGGTGTATAAAGATTGACTATCTGGGCTCTAAATTATGATACAGTATTGGGTACTGACGGATTCATCTGTTTCACAATAGGCACAAAAATATCCAGATTCTGACATCCAGAATTGCTAACATGACAAGTGCAAGATTTTGGCTCAGATTATGTGCTGCAGATCTGAGTTTTCCTCCCAGTGAAGGTTTTTTTTTTTTTTTTCGTTTCACCTGTAGTGAATCCCACTACAATGAATCCTGTTAAAACTAAGGACCGCTGTAGGCTTCTTTAGACCTTGTACCTGCCTAAATTAATAACTAGTAGGTTGAATTTTGGGCACATAGGGCCATTAACAGTAAGCATTTTTCTTGTAAAATGTGTACTGCTGGATTTTACAGCTTCATTTAAAGTTAGAAGCAATTTATCTGATGTGTATGAGGCAGGAAGAAAATAATCTTCCAGAGGAAGCTTTCTTCTAATCTACAAAGTAGCTCTCCTCTATTTGTTATACTAAGGTTTAGGAGTCTTAAATAAATTCATGGAACTCCTGATTTAAAGAAGCATGAGTGAAGCAAGCATTTGCTTAGAGGACATGTGCATGCGCAGTGCTTAATGTGGTCACGGCTGTCAAGAAGCAACCACACATGTCTTCCCTGAAAGAGAAGGGGAAAGGGGTGCCTAGACAAACCTCATGCCCATTCCTTTCTCCATCCCACCCCCCAGACAGCGTGCCTGTGCCACATGCAGAAGAGATGGCTGCTTTTCTTTACTGGCAGTGGCACCAATCCACATCCTGTAATCTGTTTCCCAACAGATTGGCTTTCTACAGGATGTGCTTTTCTGGATCTGGATGAAAATTTTTGAATTGATTTTCCTGCTTCTCCTTTTAGCTTTCAGAAAGAAGTGGTCCTCATATCCAATTTTTTGTATAATGTCAACAGAGTGTTGCAAACAAGTTTTCCAGATCTTCTAGGCTGATCTTAATAATGTGGTAGTTACAGCACAGGTACTTAGAATCTCAATACAGCATGGTCAAACAGGATGTTTAGAACTTTGACTAATGGCCAATCATTTTGGTATTTATAATAAATGCATTTGAAATGATTTGATGCTGCTGGAATCAGCATTGACAGGTATACCTGCCAAGTACCCTGGAAGGCCCAAGCTCAACCAATGGTCACTGAAGGTCTTATGCCTCTCCTTGCTGTTGTTGCCTGTTCACCTGCCAGCTTCTAGTGAATATGCAAAGAAATAGTAGCTTCTACACATCTTGCCCCCTGAAGGTGATGTAGAAGAATCAAGCTGGAATCAAGTTGGAGGATCAGGTTTCCAGTTGAACAATGAGCAGTGTCCTAAATTCTCTACAGGAGTGTGGAGGAGTGGGAACAGCAGGTGTTGTTTCCAAGACTTCAGACATTTACCTTTATTTTCATTTGATTTGTTCATTTCTGGCTTGAATTATTTAAATCAGAGCTGAAGGAACTAGACCAGCTTAAGTTATTTCAGCATTGTCTATTAGAGGCTAGAGAATACCACAGATCCATGAATACTGGGAATCATTTGAATACACCTGGGTTTACAGCAGTGAGTTATGCTGTGTTGTGTGCCTGCTTTAGTGAAATTGGGTACTTGTAAGCATGCTTCTCAACAGAAGTTGGCTCTAACATTGCACTGAAATGCTAATCTGCTAGGATGTAAAACAAGGGCACGAGGTTTAGTCACCTAATTCACAAATCATGCTAAGCAACCTTGGGAACCTTTTCCACAGGTGGAGTGATTTTTGTTCAAATTCTTTGGAAGGGAAGAGATCAGCTTTCCCTTTCTGTGCAAAGTATTCCTAGTAAGATTCATACGCACCTTCTGTGCAAGCTATAATTTAGGGGGTTTTAATTTTTTTAAGGCAGGATGGGTAGCTGCATGGTACTTATCAAGTGAACATCTCTTTTAAGTTAAGGGTTAAAGGTGGAGGATGCAGGAAGGACTCTAGGCAATCTGATTCTCACACTGATACCAGTGGGGCTGTGCTGAGGCACGAATGCCTTACCAACTTGGAAATCATCAATTTAAAAAGCCAACTGGTTGAGCAGACACACTATTAATCAATTCAGTGCTTAAAAAATGTCTGTATCCAAATCAGTTGTCATGGTGCATCTCCTCCCATCTCTAGCAATAACTTTGCTATGATTAGTATCTTGTTCGCAAGACTCATGGCACAGATATAGTTACCCAAGGGGAAGAATTAGTGGACTATGATAAGTACTGGAAGAAGGTGGGGAAGTTTTTTGAGTATTATTTATAGAGTAACATAGAAACATCTGTCTACAGTGGTGCAGGTGACCTCACCTCGTAGACATTATCATCTAGTGCCCAGTAATAATACCAGTTGGGAAAGATTACCACTGCATCTTTTCTATGGTATCCAGTTTTTCTTGCCTAAGTGGATTCTATGATACCTTTTACCTGGAATTTGTTGAAATCTGAAATTTGTTTTTAATTTGGAAATAAACTTTGTAACAGGGTCTTTTTTTTTAGGTGCGGGGAGCAACAATTCCATTCCTAGATATAGTTGGGATAATACTAAAGCATTTGTCTGAATTTTCTGCAGGCTAGTGAAATGTGGATTTAGGAACCAATGTATTGGGTTCTACAGAAGTGCATTGTGTTTTCATGTCTGTTACATTTGCAGTCTAACACTTTTTTAAATATCTGTGTGGGGGTTTTTATGTTTTGTTTAGATGCTCAGCCTACAGATGGAGAAAGGGAAGTATGGAACCAGGTCAATGCCGTCTTGCAGGATTCAGAAAGCATGCTTTCAGACCTACAGTCTTACAAAGGAGCGGGACAAGAGATAAGAGATGTGCGTTATACCATGCTATGAAAACTAATTGTCTGGAGAAGAAAAATTGAACATCATCCTACATGATTTCCTTGCATACTCAAGTAGTGCAGTCCAAGTTTTTTTTTTTTAAACCCATATGTTTCTAATTCTGGAAAATTTTAAATAGTGAGGATTTTCCAGGTTATTGTACAAATCACCTCTTTCAGGAGACAAAAACATCACTATAGCCAAGCTACTACGTGAAGTTACTGAAATGATTTTCTCACTGGAATGTGTAGCAACATTCTTTAGCATTCCAAATTAAAAACAGAGATTTTGCCTCTGTGTGTGTATGTGTTTATACATGTATAGTGTGTACAAGACTACAAAGGGTTTTTTCATCAGGAGATTTATTTCTTAATAAGTCAGTCACTGAGTGATAGCATCTGAGTGTTGTGTGTTGGCCAAAGGGTTTCTGTTCTAAGACACCTGCCAGGGCTTGAGTAAATGGTGTTCCTTCAAAGAGATATTTAAAGGCTGTTTGGTTGGGTGGTCTTTCTCTGTTTTTGTTTTTATTTTCAAAACCTCCCCAGTGATTATGTGCTGTTGAATGTATAAAGCACAATCAACGGGCATGACATTTTGCAAAGACAGAGCAAAACAATTTTCTGCACCAGTGAATGTACAAACACATTTTTCCTATGGAAGAGGGAAATGGGGGAAAGGGTAACAAAGAATAGTAAATCAACTGGACTAGTTGAAACCTCGATGTAAAGATTGTCCCCTTCTAATAAACCAAGGTGGGGATCCTATTTTCTGTTGATAGCTGTGTTGTCTCGAGATGCCACGTGCCAGTCAGAGGCCAGGCAGAAGCCAGAGCTGGGCAAAGCCAGGGCCTAAAGTGGTTGGGGCCTCCCCCTTTCTTCATTTCTCCCTTTCTGACACCCCATCTCCTCTTTTCTCCATGTCTACCTCTATGTTCCTCTTAAGTTGTGCCCAGTAGGCTGCCAGCACGGGGCAGACAATTCTTGAGGTCTTTCTCTTCAGCTATTTTTGTGCACTGCCTTCTCATCCAACACTGAACAGGTAGCCTACACCTGGATAATGTGCATCCATTAGAAAGATGAGGTATGAATCTTCATCTAAAACAAATAGCATTGGTTAAGGTGTTGCTGTTATTTTCCAGGCAATACAAAACCCAAATGATATCCAGCTTCAGGAGAGAGCCTGGAATTCAGTGTGCCCTCTGGTTGTGAGGCTGAAGCGGTTCTATGAATTTTCCCTCAGACTAGGTGAGAACCTGCCTATTAGTCTCCCAAGAAATGCGTAGGGAAGTCATCCTCAGTCTCCTGCTCCATTCTGAGGCAGTTGTGCTTTCCTGTGATGCAAGCACACCTGGACATTGTTTCCTGTAAATGTTCTTAACAGCAATGCACTTGTACATTTGAATGTCCAGGGTTATTGTTAATTTTAAAAATCTGCTTGATATCAGCAGGAACAATATTGTATTGCGAGACTATGGTCAGTGAGAGAATGATGTCTCTTTAATACTCTTTAAGGAGCAGAAAGAGACAGCAACATGGAGGAGTCCTGAAAACATAAAATAAACGGCAGAATCCAGTGGGATCCTTTTCCACCAGTTCCCTTTCATTCCACCAATTCCTGTCCACAAGCTTTTGGAAAAAAAAAAAAAGATTTAGCGCTTCCAAGAGTGAAATTGTGTGTTTTTGGAATAGGAAAGTTGGTGGAGCTAACATAAAGGAACTGTGCCAATGACTTCCCCAATCAAGGAGCAAGTGCTTCCATGTGTTTGAGGGCTTCCTCAGGAAAGCACAAAATCACTGTTTCACAAGCAGTTGGTCCTGTTCACACAGTGGAACCAGTCACTTGTGCAACAGAATCAGGGGGGCATGTTTTCACCTGTCTGGATTGACCCTCAGTGTCACTGACCAACTGAATATTCTCTTTTCTCCCCTGTACCTGAATTTTGTTGGCTGGGTCAGGAATATGGGGCCTTCCAGGACTTTATAAACTGAAGCCATTTTTCACATTTTATTTCAAATGTAATGGGGAGTATTCCATAGTCTTACATGAAGTGAAGACAAAATACAGATGCTTTTGTTGATTAGATAATGCCTCACAAAAGTCAGTTTGCCTTACTGCTGCAAGATCTTCCAAAAGCAATTTTGTTTTAAACTGCCCAGAGAGCTTCAGCTGTTGGCAGTATAGAAATATAATACATAATCATCATCATCATCATCATTGAGGTTTGCAAACAACTGAGTAAAAGTCAGGCAATCTGTATGTTTTTTAAGTCTCTGTCAATCAACAGATCTAGTAAAGCTCTTGTGTAGATGTTGGCATGTTATAAATTGACCGACCACTTTGAAATAAAAATAAGGCAAATGTGTGTGATTCCTTTTTCTTTTTTCCAGAGAAAGCACTGCAGAGCTTACTGGAGTCCTTGACTTGTCCCCCCTACACACCAACTCAGCACTTGGAGCGAGAGCAAGCCCTAGCAAAGCAGTTTGCAGAAATCCTGCATTTTACTCTTCGCTTCGATGAGCTAAAGGTTAGGCGTCGGAAGTGGTGGTCTGCTGACCCCAACATGTCTGTCTGTTCACCTGAAAGTGCTGAAATCTGATCGCCTCTCTTTTTAACATTTTATTCATTTTCTTTTCTATTAAGATGAGAAACCCAGCAATTCAGAATGACTTCAGCTATTATAGAAGGACATTAAGTCGCAACAGAATAAACAATATGCATGTAAGTGAAATGATTCCTTAGGAGTTTATAAGTATACCTACAGGAACGTGGTAAGCTGCCTTATACCAACTCAGACCGTTTTCCCATCAGTCTGAGCATTGTCAGCATTGACTGGCAGTGACGATGCAGTGTTTCAGTAAGTGGTCTTTCCCAGCCTTCCCAAGATATTGAACATCGGACCTTCTGCAGGAAGGGAAAGTGTGTCCAGCCACTGAGCTGCATTCACTGAAGAATGCCTGTGTGTTTGCTCATCTGTTTGTTCATCAAAGGCAAATTTCATAAAAATGTTGATAGCTTGGGATAATGCAAGGTTTTTTGAGTAAGCACCTGGAGGTGTGATTTTTTAAAATTCTTTTTAAAGAATTCACTCTTTTGTCAAGGCAATTTTTATCAGTAATTGGCATGCTTTTCAGATGAATACCATCTGTTGTGACTTCTAAACATCTATTGATGCCTTAAGCAACAGTGTTCCCCTTGTGTTTTCATCAGCTCGACATTGAGAGTGAAGTGAACAACGAGATGGCTAATAGAATGTCCCTATTTTATGCAGAAGCTACACCAGTGCTGAAAACTCTGAGCAATGCTACCACATGTTTTGTAGCCGAAGTGAGTGATGTTTTTAATATTCCTTTAAAAATGAAAGCATATATTAGACAAATATTGAATGCTTACTGAATGATTGTTCTGATTCTGTGGTTAATTTTGTTTTAACCTTTCTAGAACAAAACTTTGCCAATTGAGAATACAACAGATTGCCTAAGTACAATGGCCAGTGTATGTAAAGTCATGCTGGAAACACCGTAAGTTAGCTGGATATGTGTGGTTTCATTTCATTTCATTTATTTTGATGTAATGGTTCAATGAATTAAATTTACTAAAAGCTTGTAGCGATCATCAGGAGTTGATTGTAACAGTAACAGGCCTCTGGAGGCAGTTCTTCCAGGCTGGAAACAGAGGTATTTATTCCAGAGTGTGTGAAAGAGGCATTGTGGCCTGCAGTGAATAGTTCTGTCCCACTGCCATTTCAAGTAAACAGGTTTTGCAGTGCTCTCTTTTTAATGAAAAACATATTTGAGCAGAGCCAAAAATGAGACAAAATAAATGAGCACACACTCTGGGTAATGATGCATCTGGCAAACGTGACCCTCTCTGTTTTCAAGGCAAAGGTAGACTGAAAACAGCAGCTCTGCATTGTTGCCTTCTTTTTCTCTCCAAACATGCAGGGATATTAAGTGCATGGTGTATCATCACCCCTCAAGCTTCCCTGTTCCTACTGTACTTCATTATTGTCAGCTTTTAAGAAATAGGAAACATTGTATAGGCATTGTTAATTGCAACAAGAGTAGATCTAAATTGGGAAATGGGATGTGGGTGTGCTCCATCGGCCCTGCCCAAATACATCACTGTATCACTTGCTGTCCTTAGAGATCTTCATGCAAAACCTGCAGCGATTTGAAGCAGGGCCATCAGTAAGCATGTTCAGCTGAATGCACTTACAGAACTCCCTTTCCAGTAATCCCAGTTGTAGGAGCTTTGCCACATGTTCAGCCAAACATACCTAGCAGACTCTTTGAGGTCTTTCTGCTTCATGAGCAATGATCTATAAGGCTACTTGGGCATGGTGATATTTTCAAGGCAGGGCTTGTGTGTTCCCCCCGTTGCATCCCTGCTGTAGGTCTTCTCATTTTGTTGGCAGATGCCTGCATAGGCCTTACAGGGGAGAAAGGGGGAAATGAGCTGTTGATGTGCAGTGTTTTGTTGCAGCTCACGGCAACTGTAATGTTTCATTCTACATTCATTTGCAGAAGTTAGATTAGCCAGGGCCTTTTCCATCCTTCCCTGTAGATTTTGCCATCCACAGGACTCAAAAAGGTAACCTTCCTATATAGCTCTAATGGCAGGATACCTTTTCTTCCCTTTGATAGTCTTACTAAGCTGTGATTCAGTTTTAATTATGAATGGCACTGCTATTAAGGCATTTGCTCTTGCTCTTAACATTTTTAAACGCAGCAACACCTTTGATGCCATATGATGGAGCATTTTTCAGTTATTTTTTTTTTCAAGTCTTGATATCTTATCTTTGCTGCTCCTTTTGCTGTTTCGAAAGTTGGGGTCTGAAAGATTTTATGCCTTCATTACTTCTATTGGTGATTTCTATGGCCTGTCAAGAGAGAAATGAATGAATGCAAAGGAATAATGGTGAAACATCCCTGCTGCAGGGTGAGCATCATGTGCAGGTATATCCACAGGGACCGATCTCCACTCTCACTCCCTCACTCTGCATTGTGTGGACACTCAGCATTATGAAAGGCACACATACGTAGGAGTCCAGGACAGTGATGCGGCCAGTCCCTGTGTGCTCACATCATGGTGGGAGGAGTGATGGCATTATACTATGCCCCCCCATCTCTCCACAGATGGTCCACGGTGGATTGAACTAAGCCCCATTCTTTGTATAGTACTTTAATATTATTTTAATATCTCTTATCTTTTTGTTTTCTTACATCTCTTTCAGTTTTTTGTTTGTTTGTTTGTTTGGTGAACATTGTTCTTTCTGTAGCAGAAGGGAAAACTGTACAGTAGATACATACTTAAATTGACTACATTGGCTTGTTGGTTATGTATCTTTAAAGGGCAAATGTTTAAAGTTGGAGAGGGAAGAGGGGAGGAAAGAAGATAGAACAGGACAAAGAAAAGGGTCACAGATTTTAAAGCAGGTTTCTTTCCACATGACTTACCCTTTTAGCCAATCGTGTATTTTTGTAAGCTTTGATGTTTGAAGATTGGTCATTCTGTCAGGAAAACCTAATGAACCTTGCACCTATCACCTATGCTGACGTGGTTGTATACAGACAATGCAAACATTCACTCTCCAACTTTTGTTAAACACTTTATATATTTGTTATTTAAAGTATTTTTGCCCTTCTCTTCAAATGAAAAGTCCTCTAAGAATAGATTATAATTGTCCTTCCACTACCTCCCCAAATGGAGTGCATCATGAAATTAATTTTTGACAGTTCCTTAAGATCTTAAGGTACAGAAGTTCAAAACCCAGTGGGAAAAGTATTTTTTTTTTTTTTTGGATTTGGGTGGAATGGAGGGATAGAGTTGGCGTCATCAGCATCCTGGTGGCAGCAGATATGACAACTCCACAGCCTTAATGTTAGTTTGTTAAATCTCTGATTATCAATGGGGAATAGTTCTGTGGATCCACAGTTACAAGCTCATTCTCAAAATAAAGATAGCCAACTCACACCGCTTTGCGTGTGAAAGAATGGCTGCATTTAAGTATACAATGCAGCATCCTAATAACAGGTGGCAGATGAAGCACCATGTTGATCAAAACAACATGGAGAAGGTCATTTCCTCTAGCACAGAAAGTGGTGAGCTACCCTTGCCTGTGGCACATGGAGCAAGGAGTAACTTTGATTTAGACTCAGTCCCACCGTAAGAAAGATTGTCGTGTGACCACTGGTAAAAGAGGTTGGGTTGGGGGGAAGCATATGTTCATGGCTTCCCCCAACTTCACACAGTATTAGAGACTAATATTACAGATTCTGCTGCATGAAGTTTGTGTTCATGGTCATTTTTGTGATTGACCTGCATGCCCCTGATTTAGTCCACTTAGGAGGATCTTTAGGATTAATGATGTAGAAGAGACTCACTGTGGGAAATGAAGGAATATTCCTCTATTTATTTGGTGTTTTCTTGTTTTTAAATTTCTCCTATTCTATCATGCCTCCTTATTCTGCAGTGATTTCTAGTATTAACTTAGTTGAAATCATTGACATTGTCCTTTAGCTTAATTTTGTCATGAGTAAGATGCTGCTTTGAAATGAAGCATTTTAATTTAAAATGTGAAATCAAGTCAAAATAAAAGCTGTGATTAATGTTTCTTTTTTCAGAGAATACAGAAGTAGGTTCACCAGTGAAGAAACACTGATGTTCTGCATGCGAGTAATGGTTGGTGTTATTATTCTGTATGACCACGTCCATCCTGTGGGAGCTTTCTCCAAGGCTTCAAAGATAGATGTAAGAATAACGAATGACAAAGGATGTCTCTGGACTTCTCTGAACTTTAAAATGCTGCTCTTTCCCATTTTTATTTGCAACCTGTTTCTTTGGGTTCTTTTTTTTTTTCTTTTTTTCAGTTTGTTTTCACAAGTGTGCACCCCCCACACACCCAGTTCCTTGACTAAAACATGCAAATTCAGGACTTAAAAAGGCACAAATTTAAAAGTGCATTTTTTTCTACCACATGTTTTTAAAATTGTGCATTTTGCAAACATCTCTGAAAGTATGGGAATTTGCAAACAGTTTTGGACAACTGGTATAACATTCACTGTTACAAGCGGGGCACTTTCAAGTAATTTGCTAGGCTTCATATAGGGATATTTTAATGTGAGAGCATACTGAAATGAGTCCATTACTGTAGAAGTGTCATTGCCTACATGCATAGTAATAGGACGGTTCTCTAAGCATAGATCCTTATGTAGCCAAAACAGTGCAATCCACACACAAGGACAACCTGACAATTTGCAGAAATATAAGGCAATATTTAAAGGGGGGGATCCAGAACAACACAGTGAAGACTGAGCATGGCCAGTGGGCACCAAATGCTGATGGGAGGTGGGTGGGGAGAAGAATGGAAGGGAGTATCCAGAAAGAAGACAGACATGGCTGGCTGAAATGCTGAATGGGAGCATACTGTGCTGGAACACGTTGCTGCGAGCTCGCCTTGTTTCTGTGGGTTACTAACCCTTTCATCAATCTGCTGGTCGATATTACTAACACTTCTGTCTCCACCATTGATGGAAGTATTAAGGTGTTCAGACAGTATCAGTGCATTTTAATTACAGCGGCTCTAAAGGCTGGTGATCTGCAGGGCGGCCGCGTTCCTAGATAGAAGTCCTTGCCCTCCCTGTGATCGGGAACCTTGGCATGCTTTATGGAGCGTCAGTGCTCTTTAATGTCTCTAAATAGAGTTCAAGACTATGCGAAGACTTCAAGGCAAGGGGCCAAGGAGATAATGGAGATGTATTTATAAGAGGTGTTACCATGTTGGAAAATATCTGAAATGCTCTGCATAATCAAAATGCAGTGTGCCAAGGGGGGCTTGGCTAGCAAGCCTTGACTCTGAAGGCACCAGGTCACCCTTGAAGTGCTTTGCTTATTGTCCTTTTGAGTCTCTTTCTGGCATCAGAACATGGGAGCAGAGGTGCTCTTTTGACCTAGACCTTTGGTTATTGTGCACTTTAAAAGGGTAGCAAATAAACACATGCACCCTTTTGGCAGCAGCGCTGGAGAGAATGCATTCTGACCAGAGGATGAGAGGCAGTGAGCGAGAGGTTGGTCGCTCTTTGGGCATTTATGCAACTTTCCAAATAGTAACTTTCATTCTTTCATGTTTTGTTTTCTCCAGATGAAGGGTTGCATAAAGGTTTTACGGGAACAGCCACCAGACACGGTTGAAGGGCTTTTGAATGCTCTCAGGTACTTCATGTATTGTCTTGAGCAATTGGATTAGTTTACACTCCTAGTGAATGAAATTAGACTTGCCAGCCTCAGAGATGCTCCCTGCCTGTTGTCAACAATTTATTTATCTTTCAGTGGTTTCATTTTTTTAATGCAGTACCAAGAATAAGTACCACCTCTCCCATCCTTTACCTAAAAAGGAGCCGTCAGGTTCCTCTTCATATTATATAAATGAAATCCTTAAGCAAAAAAGTGGTAATGAAGAGTTACATAAATGGCTTGTGTGTTGCATTTTCCTCTTTGTAGACTTGTGCTGGTTTTGCAACATCACTTTTCTCTGCAGCAGGAGCAGGGAGTTGCAGAGAAAGGACGTGAGTGCGCTGTGCTAGGTAGAGCATTGGAGGGGGACTGGAGGAACTTGGGTTCCATTCTCCCTCAGCCATGAAACTCTCTGGTGTGACTTTGGGCAGTCGTTTGACTTTCAGCCAAGTCTGCTGCACAGGGCTGTTGAGAGGATAAAAGGGAAAGGAGCAAGAGGAAGAGTCTGTCATCTTGGGCTCCTTGCAGGTGGGTAAAAATATGGCCAATATAGAAATGATGGAAAGGTGGCAGTAGCAAATGGAGGTGGATGCCAGGTGGATTTCTAATACTCCATGGCTGTATTTGAATACACCTGAAGTACATTACATGATCAAGGCTGAAGCCCTCTTAGCGGAAGAGTAGGCCCCATCAATAGACTGGGCCTTCCCTCAGGGTTGTAAATAGGTACAGGATTTTACCGTGAGGTCATGTCATGGCTTTTTAGGATGACTAGGAAAGTTTGGAGGTAATTCCATTTCATAGTCATAGGATTGCCTTGTGACTGTGTCCCTCTCTAACTTCTAGGTTTACCACGAAACACCTGAATGATGAATCTACTTCAAAACAAGTTCGAGCTATGCTTCAGTAGTGCACTCCTTTGACAAATGGACTTTTGTATTCTTTAGAGAAGATGTTTGTTTACATAATTTAATAGTGTGTGGTGTTACTACATATGCGTAATTTACACGATATAACAACTGGTTTCTTCCTGTTGTTGCAGTATGTGGAATTGTATCAATAACATGACTGACTCCATATGGTGCAGCATCTACCTATATGCTAGTCTTACCATTCAACAGTTCAGAAAGGTACCTTTAATTTGAATGTACACATAACAACATTGTCTATGTGCCTTGCTTTTATTGTTGGTTGGATGGTCCCTTTGTATGTGGAGGTATGCAGTAATTTTGTTGTGGCCTCTGGGCAATTCCACAAATGGGCATGTATTTGTGAAGACCTTGGGGTGGCCCCTTGAACAGGTCTGATAGGACTCGTCCATTCCCCCTTCAGCTAGAGAGTTTTATTCTGTTCAGGGTATGCACTGATGAGGAGCAGTGGGCATGTTCCAGCCATCAATAGAAATCAGCATACTCCATGTGTGCCATCTTGGAGCCTTCCTTTTGTGGAGATGGGTGGAGAGTCTCCCTTTCCTGGCAGCTTTAGCACTGAGACCTCCATCTAAAGTTCTAAAATTGTGTTTAAATGTAGGTAGTTTTATGTCTGCAAAGTGAAATACAAGTGAGTGACATAAACCAGCCTTCCCCAAATGGATGTCTTCCAGATGCATCCACTAGTCAGCACTGCTGGTTGGGGGCATGTTGGAGATGTAGACCAGCCAGTCTGGTAGGCATCAGATCAGAGAGGCCCCAGTTCAGACATAAATTATGAGAAGAGATGTGCAGGCCTTGGGCTAGTGCACTTTGTCCTTGCACCAATCTCCCTCCCTGGCGTGTCACAATTCAACACATCTGAGATTAATTTTCTGTAGTTGCCCATTGCAGCCAAACTGGGGAGTGGTGTTGATCAAGACTGGGACAGGTTCAGCTCTTAAATCGACCTCTGACTGAAGGAAGAAGGGGGCAGTGCAAGAACAGTGTGAATTGGCACCAGGGCCATACATATCTTGACTTCCCACGCTGAGGTACCTGCATGTCTGAATGAAGCCAACATGTGGGACTGTGCAGAGGACCAATGAGAAATAGGCAATGCTATTGTATATACCTTTGCCTGGTTTTGTATGCTTCTAATTATACCAATGGCACTGAGAGTGGCTTTGTTGTGTGTGGCATTCTTGCCTTGTTTCCTTCATGCTTCTCTCTGCTGCTCAGAGAGCTGGGAGTATGGTGGGGGATACTGCTCTTACTTTTTAACAGCATAGCATACCAGCGCCGAGTGTTAACATTTGTGCCATTCTTTTTCCACCGTGAAAATCTGTGACTGCAGGTTTAGATTTAGCCTTCACCTTGGTTGTCCACTGAAGAATCTAGGAGACTGGAAGAGTTCCTCAAAGTATTGTTACTTTTGACCCCATATTACGGGTTCATTTAGCAGGAGCTTCCCATTAACTTATTGGAGCAACTTCAAGCTCCAGTTCAGTCACCTCTGCTCATTGCTTTAATGTTGTGAGTTGCCCTTAGGATTGCTTTGTTGAGCCACCCGCAGGATAAAATAAAGAATAAGCAGATTTCTGTTTTTCAGCTGCTTTATTTGACAGGGGCAGGTCAAGTCCCAGATATATCTCTGGGTTGCTGCCACGTGAAAGGACTGGGTTAGTAGAGAACTGCATAGAAAGCTTCCATAAAACCAGCTCACTGCATGATTTGAAGCAGGCGGTGACTATTCACTTCATACTCCGAATTCTCTCGTTTTTCTTGGTTGCACTGCTGTGGCTCAAGCCCATGCACTTATGGAAAGGAAGCTGTTCTGAAAGTGTACTTGTGTGATTCTCTTTCCTAGCAACCACTATGCCACAAAGATAGCATAATTTTGTAAGCCACCTTGAATATTTTAATAAGTTGGTTCATAAATATCTGATTAAATAAACAAATTTAGGTTTCTCTTTGCTGCTGTGGTATTTGAAGGTGCATTGCTAACAAACAAAACCCAGACATAGTAATCTCCATTCACATACATACACCATCTCTGTAGTATGGGGAGAAACATCTGGATAAAAATATTCTGAAAACGCACACATTTTCAGTCATCTTTCCATGAGCCCCAAAATTATATATACCATCTTGCAGTAGAAAATAGGTTTGATATGTGTTGTAGCTGCTAATAATTGACCATTTCTTTGAATGTTCGTGCTATAAAGGCACAAGACTGCAGGTTTCATTGCAGGTGAGAAAATTCACCACTTAAGCTAAGAAGCAAGATGTAGACTACATAAATCAAACCACTTAGCACAACATTGATTTCCTCAATATTTGCGTATAATGGCAGTTGTATGCTGTCCTGCCAAATGGTAGTAATAGATGCTTAGTCAATAGTAAAGAATAAGAATACAAGAAGAAATGGTTTCATTGTGTAGGAGCTAACTTGCTTACAAGAATGTCATTAAATTCCATTTACTGCTGCATTCAGCTGTTGGCCACTGGTTGAAATGTGAGAGTAATATTTCAGTTCCTGGCTGTCCAAAGTCTCCAGATGTGATGCTTCCAAGAAGCAAAGATTCTTTTCTGAGCTGCGTTTGTTTCATTACCCACAACAGTCCCCACTCAAGGAATATGGAACATTTCACCAGTTTCTCTTTTGAATGTGTCTTCTGTGATCAGCAGCAGCTGTAAATGGATTTGTTTATAGGATTTCTTAAATTTTAATGCTAACTTGGCGTATGGAAAGTGAATATATGATATTCATATTTATTAGACCTTGTACAGCAATAGTGTAGACTCTATTAGACCTTTTCTGGCCCACAAAAGTTACCTATCTGGCTGACAGAATGTTGGACTTGATCCTCAGATTCTGTCCTCTCCACTTCCGAAGACTGACCTCTCTCCCCTTTTGGGGAAGGAGTTGGTGAGAAGAATCCCTAGAGTTATGTCGTACCTTTTTTGGGAGATGAAGTGGGTATCCCATTATGAGCTGCTACCTTAAATAGATTTGTGACAGTATTATAAACTTTGATTAATTGATTCATGCCAGGAGAGGATAAGCAGCATGGCGGGGAAGTTATGCTTAATCTCCAAGTCTGGTCAAAGATCAGAGATGGCATTTCTCTTAGCCAAGCAGGATGGCTGAGTACCAGTCAGGCAATGTAACTCAGGTCACAAAGCATTCGTACCCCTGATCTCATTTGGCCTATGGAGCTTGGGGCGGGGGTTCATCTGCATCCCCAAAATACAGTTCCCTACCCTCTACTGCATAATTTGCTGTGTGTGTTTGTGTAGTTTTGAATTAGTTGAGTATTTTGCAGCCTACATAGCATGTTTATCTGTGAGTTGATGGAAACTTGGGCCCATGATGGTTTGGAGAGTTAATATGGCTTAGGGTGGAAAGTTCACTTTCTTGATACAACTCTTGAATTCAGATGTTTTGGAGTAGACGTGTCAAAGTTGGTTTAATTCGTTAGGGTAAATTATGTCAAATCCATCCTTTTAGGCCTTATATCTTTGGACAGAGATAATTTTTCAGTTTTGTATCTGTGGTAGGGTTGACACTATGCAGTTTGGACCTGCACAGGGCCCTGTTCTGAAACTGAGGTTGAGAGGAACTAGCCCTCAGGATGGCTATTTTTAGTGGGGATAGATGAGAGAGAGAGAGAGGAAATGCATAGACTTGTAACAAAGGATGAGGAATTGCAACACTGCATGGGCCGGGATGCTGACCCCGGCTTCTTTTGAAGCTGAATGACAGCCTACCTGAATAGGGATTTAGCACTCATCATGTCCTTTTCTCATTGTTTTCAGTCAATAATCCAACTTTGCTATTTTGACAACACAGCATGTAATTTTGGGTATTTCGTAGCATCGGAAGTGCTAGCCAGTAATACCTGTGCATAAATTCTTCTGAAACACCTAGAGCTGGCTTTCCTAGAACTTGATACTGGAGAAAAGATGGCATGTTACAGCAAAATCCACAAAATCAATCCACTTTCACAATAGGTTCACTGCTCAAATTTTGTTCATCTGTACAAATCCAAGGGACAGGTCTGTTGAAAGATACACAGGCCCATCTGTTCAGTAGATGTGATAGATTTTGTTAATTTTATTCATAGCTGCATACCCAGATTTAAACTGTAATTGAAATTAATGTTTTAACAATTGCATTCTGTATATAAAACTCAAAAGAATAGAATTATTTGCCTTCTGTATAATAAAAAGGTTCAAAAAGGTATTGTGTGATTGTTAGCACCTTGGCATACATTTCCATGCATGACAAGAAATGACCACTTGAAGAATGACAGTTACAGGTAAGCAACTTGCTTTTTCTACAGAGTTTTTTTTATTAAAAATAATTTATTACAATGATCTATTTGGTGTCATATTCACCATATATAATCTGATAGATGAATAAAATCCAAATGAAAGAAGGCAAAATTAGTAATAGAACTATTACTGTTGCTGTAAAAGAACCACCTTGATTTTTTGGAACTGTCTCATTGTAGGTTAACTTAAAAAAGTAAGTTCGATAAATGTATCCTTGAGGTTTGCTGGATTGGAATTCATACATGTTTCGAATACATGTTAGGCTTATTCTGTGACCTGGCCCCATGTAAATTGCTGCTTCAATCTGATTGCTGTGACTGCTTTTTAATCCCAGAGGGAAACTATGGTCTATGTAATCAGTAGACAGTCTGGGTTAAATTCAAATACACTTTCGAAAATGCATGTTGGCTTCCAGCCACAATGTCTTGCATACCTGACCTAAAGACTGGTAAAGGGCATACTTCCTTCCTACTCTTCCAGCATCATGTGGCTTTTATCTGCTAATCTCATTTCCTATGCTTTCCTTCATGGTACTTCTGGCATCTGATGAAATAAGTACCATGAAGGAAAGCATAGGAAATAGGAGGTAATACTCTGTGTAGAGGTTGTGCTTCATTAGGGCAGATATTGGATCTAAACGATCTCTTTCCAATTCAGTGAATGTTGTGTAGCATCTTCAGATCTGGATGTTAAACTTTGAAAGAACTTGCTTCAAATAAAAAAGCTGTAGTTGTTTGAAGTATCCTGGGGCGGCATTAACATTGCATCCTCCTGCATTCCAACCCCCAAAATGACAAATATTCAGGAATGTTTTCTATTACCATCCTTGCCACTTTACATGTGGCTCTGAATTTTCAAACTGTGTATTGGTTATTTGTTCAGCTTTTTTATCTGTATTAGCATCTTCATACTAATGAAATTAGGGGGGCATTTTATTCATTCACAATTTAATGAGACATTATTTAATGTTGCACTGTTGGAACACTATGCCAATTGAAAATTATTACTTGAAATTCACATTTTTTGCATTTCACAGTGGAGTTAAGAAATACTTAGAATCAAACCAGATCAAAAATATTTAACATAATGCATATTTTGCATAATGTTCATATGTACATTAGGCAATAATGCATGTATTAGAAGTGTGCATCAAAAATGCTCATAAACTTTTTAAAAAACCTTAGGAGTTTAGACTGAGTGGAGCAGGAGAAATTCTCAGAGTTCAAGATGAACTAAGCTTAACATTAAAAAGCTGAGGTGGCACGGAGAAATACAGGCAGATTCGTCCGTCCATTGCATGTTAGAAGACACCTTGGATTACGACTTCTGTGGCCCTGGTTAATATTTTCATTACCCTCCCCTCAAGGGTGGGGAGGTTTGTCGCAGATTTCCCTTCTCATTGGACTAGCACCTTGGCACTGTAATCTGCCATTAGTTCTACCTCTGGGCCAACTCTACTGCTGGGCCAACCCTACCTAGAAGAAATGAATGAGTGAAAGCTGATGGCACTACTGCTGCTCTTTGATGCTGCTTCCATGCATGGAGAAGGTGCGCATGACCGAGGAGCAGATGCAGGGCCATGGGGGTCAGGGGTCTGCCGGGATGCACTGATTCTTATCCATATATACCTGTATCCCAATGTGGCATACTGAGTATATGCCAGTGATGGCGAAGATTTTAGAGACCAAGTGCCCAAATTGCAACCCAAAACCCACTTATTTATCAGAAAGTGCCAACACTGCAATAAAACGTGAAAAATGAGATTTTAGTTTAGAGAAAACAATTCACAGCCAGTCCAAGCAAATATATATATCCTTGCCAACGCACTGACTGGCCATACGAAAGCTTGGACGAATCACAGATAATGCGTTGCGGCTCGCGACGGCATCACCTGGCACTGCTACTCCTTTCTGAGCATGCGCATGGCCCCAGTGTGCAATGTTACCAATGCTCGGATGCTGGGGTGATGCTGGGGCGACTTGGCTTGCATACCGCCAGAGAGGGCTCTGCGTGCCCGCTGTGGCACATGTGCAATAGGTTCACCACCATTACCCTAACCCTACCCTGGTACACTCCCCTTACCCTAGTATAAGGGTAAAGTTCCATTGAAAAGTGGGTGATTTTGAAAAAGCCTCCCTTGAGTAGATTTTTCTGCACAGCATATCATTTCTACCCACTCTGAACATATTGCAACCATAAAAATCATGCCAGGACACCTCGTTTTTCTAGCCCTAACCCTACCCTGGTGCACAGCCCTAACCCTAATATAGGGGTAAAATCCCCTGAAAATAATGCAATCTTCAAAAAGCCTTCCTTGAGTAGCTTTTTCTGCACATCTCAAGATCTTGGCCCTTTCTAAATATATTCCAAGCATCAAAATCATGCCAACACACCTCATTTTCCTAACACAAACCCTACCCTGGTGCACACCTCTAACCCTAATATAGGGCTACGGTTCCATGGAAAATAATGTGATTTTGAAAAAGCCGTCTTGAGTAGCTTTTTCTGCACAGCTCAACCTTTCTGCCCATTCTAAACACACTAGGCCAGAAAACAGTCCGTCGACATCCGCCTTACTGATCAGTATGGACCCAAATGGTTTCACAAGTCATCGCGCCTCTACACTCCATACCCGGAAGCCAAGGTATGTGCATATAACTGAAGAACACAGGGGTGCTCCTTTGAACTGAGGGTAAAGCTCTCGTTTTCCATTTAATGCCCGGGTTAGCTGCACTGCTCTGACAAAAGCGTTACCCCATCCAGGATGGTGAGAGCGCAGGAGAATGTATTGATAAGAGAATGCTTCTACTTCTTCCTTCCTTCCTGAAATAAGGAGAGTTCCATTCAATTGGTGGGGAAAATGATATTCCATTCAATTCAAAAACGTTCTTCATGGTTCTACTCTGAGTAAGAGCTTTCAGGCTTAGTTATCGGGGAAGATCATACTGCTGAGACAAGCCATCTCTTTCCCTGTGGTTCACTGGGGTCTCCTTGCCTTCACAGTTTCCTGCCAACTGCACGCTTCACTAGGCCAGAACACAATCCGTCGACATCCGTCTTAATGAACATGTGTGGACGCAACTAGTTTCATCAGCCATCACTCATCAGCCCACCATACCCGGAAGTCCCAGTATGTGCCTATAACTGAAGAACACAGCGGTGCTCCTTTGAACTGAGGGTAAAGCTCTCGTTTTCCATTTAACACCCAGGTTAGCTGCACTGCTCTGACAAGAACGTTACCCTATCCGTGATGGCGAGAGCCCAGGAGAACGTATTGATAAGAGAATGCTTCTACTTTTTCCTTCCTTCTTGGAATAAGGAGAGTTGCATTCAGTTGGAGGGGAAACTGGCATTCCATTCAATTCAAACATGTTCTTAAGGGTCTACTCTGAGTAAGAGCTTGCAGCTGTCTCAGTTCACAGGGAACATCGTAATGCTGAGAAAAACCTTCTCATTCAGTGTGATGGATGAGGGTCTCATTGCCCTGACAGTGGCCTGCCAATTCTGCGCCTCATTAGGCCGGAACACAATCTGTCGACATCCTCCTTACTGAAAGTATGTGGACGCAACTGGTTTCAACAGTAATCACACCTCTGTCCACTGTGCCCAGAAGCCCAAGTATGAACATACAGCTGAACAGTCACACATCACTGGGGTGCTCTTTTGATTGGAGGGAAAAGCTCACTGTTTCCATGTAACGTGAGCTGCATTCCTCTTTATGAGCACTTTACCCAGTCTGCGATTACGAGAGCTCAGGACAACGAGATGATAAGACGATACTTGCACTATTATCATCATTTATGGAACTGGGAGTTCAATTGAATTGATGGGGAAAGTGGTATGCCATTCAATTCAAACAGATTCTTAAGAGTCTACTCTGAGTAAGAGCTTGCAGCTGGCACAGTTCACAGGGAACATCGCAATGCTGAGAGAAACCTTCTGATTCAGTGTGTTTGATGTGGTTCTCATTGCCTTCACAATGGCTTGCTAATTCCGCGCTTCACTAGGGTGGAACACAACACAATTTAAGCAAAATTTAGGCTCAAGTTGAAGAAAGTAGGGAAAAGCACTAGGCCACTCAGGTATGACCTAAATCATATCCCTGATGAATATACAGTAGAGGTGACAAATAGATTTAAGGAATTAGATCTGATAGACTGAGTGCCTGAAGAACTATGGACAGAGGTTCGCAACATTGTACAAGAGGCAGCAACTAAAACCATCCCAAAGAAAAGAAATGCAAGAAAGCAAAATGGCTGTCTGAGGAAGCTTTACAAATAGTCGAGGAAAGAAGGGAAGCAAAAGGCAAGGGCGAAAGAGAAAGATACACCCAATTGAATGCAGAATTCCAGAGAATAGCTAGAAGAGATAAGAATGCCTTCTTAAATGAGCAGTGCAAAGAAATAGAAGCAAACAATAGAATAGGGAGGACCAGAGATCTCCTCACGAAATTGGATATATGAAGGGAATGTTTCATGCAAAGATGGGCATGATAAAGGACCAAAATGGCAGGGACCTCACAGAAGCAGAAGAGATTAAGAAGAGGTGGCAAGATTACACAGATGAACTATACAAGAAAGAGCTTAACGTCCCTGATAACCACGATGGGGTGGTCACTGACCTCGAGCCAGACATCCTGGAATGTGAAGTCAAATCGGCCTTAGGAAGTCTGAGCAACAACAAAGCTAGTGGAGGTGACAGTATTCCAGCTGAGCTATTCAAAACCTTAAAAGACGATGCAGTAAAAGTGCTACACTCAATATGCCATCTAACTTGGAAAACTCAACAATGGCCACAGGATTGGAAAAGGTCAGTTTACATTCTGATCCCAAAGAAGGGCAATGCCAAAGAATGTTGAAACTACTGCACCATTGCACTCATTTCACATGCTAGCAAAGTTATGCTC